TGGGGAAAAAACACCTCCGCCACAAAAAAGCAGTGAGCAGAGCTTCCTCAACGGAATTGTTTATTTGAGACGCTTGGTTGCGTGGGAGTTTTCGAGAGGTGCAGGGGAAGGGTGACCAACCGCAACCCTAGACACCCATTCCGATCATACTGACGATTTCAGAGGTACATATATATATATATATACGCAATCACGATTACATGACGCAAACCTCACTCTGGTCAACCAGAAAGCGGTATCAGTCACGTTTGTATGCGTTGTAACTAGTCCACGACTCCAAATCGGCCCGATGCATATATATATGCTTATAATCACAATTATCTATCTACCATCATTGCCATACATTCAAGTAATTTTTTTACCTGCTTCGGTGGGGGAAGTTTGAGTGTTGGAACGAACTTTCGTTGTGCGCACAGTTCAGGCTTCATTGTCAAACTCGCCGGTATCGGCTTCTTTGGTTTTCTAGTCGAGGATTTGAACAGGCCAACCGTGCACTCGGTTTTCTACAGGCACTGCACGATTTCACACGTCAGTCACAGTGCCCCATGGCTAATCGATTCACACGTCTCGGAAAAGCATGGCACATTATGAACCGTTTCATCGTTCGCGGTTCACCTTATGACCTGGGTAAGTACAATTGGCGAATGGCTCAATTAGGTTTGTTCTCCGGGCTGAAACGAGATGTTTCGTCACAAACGCACTGCGTGCTTTACTTTTGTTGTGTGGTACTACTCACATTTGTGAGTAGCACGGTACGCAAAACGATGCGGTTGGAGGATTCTTCTAACGGTCAAAAAATTGAACAAGACCTCTTAGAGTGAATCCCCTTGTTTCGAAATGGTAAGTATGGCCTGTTCCACGTAATATCCTGTGTGCTGCCGGAAATTATAATGATATATTTAAAATGAGATATCTTGTTATACGTACGCCAAATTATCCATACCCTAGGTCTGGTTCGTAATATAGAATTCTCCTCGAACCAGCAACGGTCTTTGGGATTTATAACACTTTGACTGAATTTTAACGGTCCTCAATCCCGGCACGATATTTTGTGTGTGTGTGTGTGTGACTTTTCTGCTAAATTTCATTTGGATTCACAAATGAGTTTAGAAAAACGAACATTGTCGTGAAAAGTTTTCAAATGAAGAACACTTGGTGAAAATTTGTCCTCCGAATTGATTGATTTCTCCGCTCATTGTTCCCTTGTTCACGAACCTGCCACTCGTGCAACCTACACGTTATCTGAATGTATGAACACAGCTGATGAGATTTCCACGGAACAGTTTAATTCAACGCATCCTTCGACCATGATGCTTCTCCTTGCTCGTACGAGAATATTTTTTACTCACAAATATATTTTACTTCCAAAGGGCCAAATAGCCGAAACGCTAAGTAACTAATAAATAAATAAGTAATATATAGCCTTCATTTCTATCAATATGAGAATAAAAACGCCTTTTTGTTNCTTTTCAAGGACAACAACCAATACTCTAAACCCCGGGACTTGCAGTGACAAACGAACTATGTCAGGCCTCAGTAGAATAAACGGGATGATAGTGGGATTTCCCCATAAACAAGAAAGGCAGGTTCCGTTTGGAAAGATCAAGGGTGGTCAAATCCAGACCTGCCATGAGGGTATGAAAACCCTAACCAGAAGATTGGGTCACATAGGTCCCGTTAGGCTCCCTGGCTGGGAACACCGAGATCGTGGTCACCGATGGTTAGAGAAGATGTGCGATATAGCTGGGTCCCACATACAGTGGCCTCATGCATCTACTCGTTATTCTTGAAACCACAGTCTACATGAATTATCTATCTTTCGTATGAATTTGTTCTTTGATCCAAATAGGTGAACAAAATACAGCAACCAAAATCGGCGCACGAAAGCTCATGGTTAATGTTTGTAAAATCTGAAACTGGATCTTTTTGGAAATACAAAGAGAATACGCTAAGACAGATTGAACGCATACCATGGTTTAGCTTATTCGTTTCTTCCAGCGACCGTCGGTTGGTGGTCGATCGTTCCGTTCGACAGCCGCAAACGCAAGTGCAACGCATGTCTCGGTAACTTCGATCGAAAGGTCACCGCGGAATTAGGTACTTTATGCAGATGTTTCACGTATGCGCGAATGCGAAGTCGGTCCAGTTAGATCGAACACTGATCAATTTTACACATGTAGAATGCAAAAAATAAAATAGCTCCCCTCGATTTGCCTAGGCTACAAATCATCCGTCATCTTCCGGGCTTAATGCCTCGCCACGCACATACACACGCATTTGACCAGATGAGACGCCACATAAGAGACGTCCTCCAAAGATACGTATACTCGAAATCAATTATTCGGTGCTATTTAGATATGTGAAATTGAGTAACGTGAATATACAAATATTCATACAAGTACCATGTTTATGCAAAGGATTCTGGGACACCGTTTAACAGAGCTGTGACACCTTCATGTGGTTTTGAGTTGCTGTGTTTTAACTGATCATTTGGACAGAGGAGCACACAGAAGTGGTGAGAAAGCTGACCGAAGTTTTAAGATGAATAAAAAGCAAATCAGATAGTTTAAGGTGTGATCGTCACAGGTGTATAGTAGACAGA